TACGGTATCACAGTTCTCATTGATCTACAAAAAATACTGGTAATAAAAACCTTTTCGATATTTCACACTTAATATAATACCCGGTAATCTACTTCAACCTCCTATTGCTTACAACGACGCATGACGCACCACCAGCTGTTGAGTATCAGCTAGACGGTACACGTGTTTTTCGAATCGTTTTCAGTTAAAAAACTGTTACATCACATGTATATTTTACCTTTACTGTGCCTGAATGAATATATTTTCGGAAATAAATAGTAGTTTTACTGAAACGTGATGTATTTTAATGTAAAATAGGATAAAATACATGACGAAAACAAAAGATTTTACCTAACCTTCCGATGTTCAAGAGAAGTTACTCGTTTTTTTAATAGTTTTTGGTTAAAATACTGTTATATTACAATGGTATTCTATTCATACTGTGCTTGATATAATGCATTCATGGAATGTAATATTTTTGCTGAAATGACGTATGTATTACAGTGGAAAGTGGGATAAAATTGTGACAAAAACAATGACTTGCTTTCTTTCGTTCAAAAGATGTTACCGTAATCGCTTTTCGATTGGTTTTCAGTTAAAAAACTGTTGTATTACAATAATATTCTATCCTAATTGACTTGAATAAATACTACGATACCATATTTCTGAATATTTTCATTAAAATCCATCCAAATCATTTTCCTTGTCATCGTCTGCAGCACCAAACAGCTTCTCTCAGTCCTCTCCTTGAACAGGGCTAGAGGGTACATGTTTTTCGAATCGTTTTCAGTTAAAAAACTGTTACATCACACGTATATTTTACCTAAACTGCGCCTGAATGAATATATTCTTGGAAATAAATAGTAGTTTTGCTGAAACGTGATGTATTTCAATGTAAAATAGGATAAAATACATGACGAAAACAAAAGACTTTACCGTATATCTCGGCCTACAAGACGGAATTTGAAGAAAAAAAAATCAGCCCAAAGTTAGGGGGTCGTCTTAAGCACCAGAGATAAAATTCTTACCTCTTAAATTTTGCGGTTTAGCGTGTCAAGAGTGGTGATGGAAACATGGTAAACCACTCACAAGGTCCTACCACTAATTATTTTATACTGAAACTTACATTTGGGAAGCTGGATTAAAATGAAGATTACCGGTATATTAAAATAATAAAAATGTATTATAAACCAGTCTAACATACCGTAAAAGAACAATATACCCCGGTAATAAACACAGCTGCTATCATCACCCCCCCCCCCATATGCCAGTGACGAGAAAGGGAAAGCGACCTTGACAGTGACCGCCTGTGGCTATTTTTAGCCGTCCTTGTGTTCGGAGGTGGTCAGTAATGCATATCTGTATATTTACTGATCATAATACTTATCTCCTATAAATAATTAATTAAAATTTATTTTTTTACAAAAAATATTCAGTAAATGACTGCGTTAATTCTCGAAACTACCGACAGTGGTAAATTTAGGATGAGAATGATTAACAGAAGTCACGTCATGGATTCGGAGTTTGGTCCTTAATGATCATAAATGTCTGGTCAACTTCACCTACCAGGTATAATGGTAGCCTTCCTTTTTCGCGAAACCAGTATATAAATTAAAGAAAATACTTGCAGTGTGTTTAATGTATTACAATATATTATAACTAAATAAATAAACAAATAAATCGGCAAATCTATTTCAAGTAAATGGAAATATTTTACTCACACCAACATTAGTTCCAGTTAAATAACTGACGCTTAAGTGAGTCACTAGTGTACACCAGCGGGTAAAATTTGATGCCAATACTTGAAGTGAATTGGCATTATTTTAAATAACCAACCATAAATAAATGGAAAAAAGATCAAAGGTGAAACATTATATTGTATGTATGTTGTGTTGTCAAAGGAAGAGAAACAATTGAAACTCTGCAATTGTGTGTAAATGAGGCAGTAAGATAAATCAGCAACCTAAGACTTGGTCACAATTTTCGTGATGCCATATGGAAGTAGGACCTACCATTAGACAATACTGTACATTATGCTTCCAATATCTTCCCAGGCAGTAGAATCTCCCTGTTTGGTAGCTGCCTAAAACTTTTAGTAATATTACTTTGATACAACATGATAAATTTGACAAACAATGAAAATAAACAAACAAAAGTTATTTACCAAGACCTTCTCTCTCAGAACAGAGGGTAAGAGATGGAGGGGAGATAAGACGGCTATTTATAGCCCGTCTTTGTGTAGGAAGTCGACCACACAATAAATAATTCATTTAAAATTTATATTTTTTACATAGAATATTCAGTACATGACTGCGATTGTAAAATATTGTGATATATATATATATATATATATATATATATATATATATATATATATATATATATATATATATATATATATATATATATATATATATATATATATATATATATATATATATATATATGTATATATATATATATATATATATATATATATATATTTGTGTAATAAATGTATGTAGTAAGTATGTACAGTAATCTTTTTCACTCAAATCCTAATGAAACACTATTGAATTAGAATACTGTAGCTCGCTGAAGCAAGCTTATAAATTAAAGAAAATACTTCCAGTGTGTTTAATATATTACAGTATGATATAAATAAACAAATAAATCGGTAAATCCATTTTAAGTAAATGAAACAATTGTATTCGACACCGACATTAGTTCAAGTTAAATAACAAACTTTTAAGTGAGTCACTAGTGTTTACACTACACCAACCGGTAAAATTTGATGCCATTACTTGAAGTGAATTGGCTTTATTTTAAAAAACCAAGGATGTGTAAACAGCACTGGTCAATGGGATGGTTGGTAAAGGACTACTGGGTCAGTAAGCTCCCAATGGTAAGTGTCACATTTGGGGTACTGGTCTTATACAGCGAATAGGGCTCAAAAGCTACTTTTTAAATGGAAATTTTGGGGGCCGTCTTATACACCCCGTCGCCTTGTAGGCCGAGATATACGGTACCTAACCTTCCGATGTTCAAGATATGTTACTGGTTTTTTTAATAGTTTTCGGTTAAAATACTGTTATATTACAATGATATTCTATTCATACTGTGCTTGATATAATACATTCACGGAAATGTAATATTTTTGCTGAAATTACGTACGTATTACAGTGGAAAGTGGGATAAAATCGTGACGAAAACAATGACTTTGAAATATAATGCAATATTAACCCCTAAATCGGTTAATTCGGACAATCGGCTAAAACGGACACCCTTCCCCCCCTATTAGTCCGAATTAACGAGGGTCGACTGTAATGACAATAATAATAATATTAATTCACAGTAAATAAAATTTATAATAAAAAATACAAAATTGAAAAAAAAATAATAATGATAATAATAATAACAACACTGTAATAATAATATTAATAATAATAATAATAATAATAATAATAATAATAATAATAATAATAAAGAACCATAAATAAACACAAAAATGAAAGAAAGATCAAAGTGAGAAACAATATATGTACGGTATGTTGTATTGTCATTAGTAAGAGAAACAATTGAGACCCTGCAATTGCGTGTAAATGAGGCAGAAAGTCAGATCAGCAACCTGGGACTTGGTCACAATTTTTGTGATGCCATATGGCAGCAGGGTCTACCATTAGACAATACATTATGCTTCCAATATCTTGCCAGGCAGTAGTACCTCCCTGTTTGGTAGCTGCCAACTACCTACTACTACTCAAATTAATCACCATCTTAAAAGTATTCCAGCACTGCAAGTTATATTATGTTAAGTCAAGTCACCGAAATTGTTTAAGATAAAAATTTAAGCCTAAAACCACCTTCACCCTGGCTGGGAGGATGGGGGAGGGAGGGGAAGGTGAGGTGTTGACACAGCCGGCGGTGAAGGTTACCTAGTGCGTATTTATTTACCCGTCATATAGAGGGAGAGTTCTGGTTAAGAGGGATTCTGGCTAATTGATAAATTAATGTATTAAATGCGTCCTCCGAAAGCGTGAATTTACTACAAGAGTTCAGCAGTTAATTCATGTATAAGATTTCTGATAAATTCCTACGTGCTCATGTTTGAAATAATTAATGTATGTATCTTTATATAATTTAGCTAAATATCTTTCTCGTCAGAAACGGTCATCCTAACGATTATGAATAAAATCATTAATTCAGGATGAAATCGGACAGATTTGCAACAGCCAATGAGCTGTAACTCTTGAGGAGTGGGCGGGGCATTTCTTCTCAGCTGGGAAAAAACGCACTATAGTGTGTGGTATGCTTGTGTATCATTAATGTAATTATAGATGTGGAGAAGTGATTATATTGATAGGATATTGACAATTCTTATGCATATGAATGGCATTACATAGACTGACTATGTAATTCATAATGCAGCTATTCATTAGTTTTAATTCTTGTTGCACATGATGAAGTGACAAGCAGGGTTACCAACCATTTCTATCGCATGCCCATTCGAAGAGGCATGCATTCCCTCTGCTAAATATACCGCACACAGCGAGGATGGCTGCTTGTACTTGCGCGGGGTGAAAGAAAGACAATCTCTACCTACAGTTTCAAGACTATGGACCAAAAGCAATACAGACCCAAGTTTGAGTCATATGGATCAGCGTGAAATTCATCCCAGTAACCCTACTGCCTTGTATTCTTTTTGAAGAACTATGAATTTGACTGGGCAATAATTCGTTTTACAGCCTTTCACTGATCTATATAGAATAAAATGTCCACCAATTATCATAAATAAATCACTGGACAAGGTAAGGAATTTCTCAAGATACTGGATTCTTTACCTGGGCCTTCAGATGACACTTTCAATTCAATCTTTGTGTATTTTCTCCCAATAAAACTGGGAGAAATTACACTAGGCTGATCTAAGAACTAATCCACATCCTTATACTGTACAGTATACTTCAAGGAAGAGGAGGACACTTACTTGGTCCATGTCTCTAATACCTGTCGACTATTCTTTTTGGTTAGTAATATGACATGAGTGTCTTAATACAGCACTATTTATTAACATTAAGAAAGTACATGTAAATGATTAATAAGCAACACTGGAAACAGGTGATACTCCCTCTACCGCTGTGAGAACACCCCTAGTTTTGGATGATACTTGAAAGGGAAGGCTCTGTCTGGGCCTCTGCAAAGGAAATTTTTTATACAGAATTTGACATCTTTAGACATAATGTGATATTTATTTTTACAGCCATATACAATAAACAGATCGAAGTTAAACTTTATCTCATGCTTACAGCATAATTCATTTCTTACCAATTCATTCTTACCTAGCAGGTCTGAAAAATATTTTTTCTTTATGGAATTGAGCATCTGGTCCTCGAGCATCAGCATGAGCACTATATGCTTCAGTGTAAACATCTAAACAAACTGCCAAGCGGTATAAGATCAAAGGGAGGAGGTGAAGACGGTCACTGCGTGATGATACTAGCTCATCCCAATGCACATTCACCTCTTTTTCCATTAGCTAAAGAAGGGAATAAATTGCATTACATAACTTAATTATTTGTTGTGAGAAATTAATTACAATAAGCACTTATTTGCTATGAAATGAATGTTTTAACTTGAACACAAGAAAACACAAACCCTCAGTTGTGGGCTGTTAGCAGTCTGGAAGTGATCTTCCCAGTAGAGAGACAAGGCAACAACTGGAACTTTGATGGGATGGTCTGGAGAAACTGCCACCAGAGCTTCCAAGCGAACTATTCGGCAAAAAGTTTGAGATAAAATATTCAGGATTAAGTCAGTAAATAAAGGTGTTTCTAACTTAATTTGTACTGATTTTATAGACTCCAGTATAAACATTTCTTAAATTTTTTCATTAAAGAATTGAGTCCCCGTGGTCATATTATGTTGAAATATTTTGTTTAAGGATCATTTATTGAAACAATCTTGTTGAGAGTTTATTCAGGATACCAAATTCATCTTTCGAATACAATTAGAACAGATGCTGTGGATAAAAGTTTATACACTTTCGCTCACCGTAACTATTTTTTCTCCTGACCATGGCCTAATGTAATGGGAGAGTGAAAAGAGAACCACACAAAGTAAAAGAGTGTTTCTTATGGTATACAATATTACTGCATTATAATATCCCATGTTGATAAAAAATATAGAAGCACATGGTGCATGTTAATAATAAAGTATTTATTCATTTACCACCACCTCCACAGAGGTAGCAATTGAGTCACCCTCTTATGTCACCACAGTGGCAGCCCCAACTTACACAAACTTTCCCTTGTACGAGCAGCATTTTGGTCATGTTTTTCTGGGTTAGGGATATTGTACATCATCTCAAAAAAGTATCTGCCAGGATGGGTCCAATGACTTTCAAAATACTACTTGCAACTCCTGATGTCCCAGGGGGGTTGGTATGTGTGGCTCTGTGGCATATTGATCCTATTATATTTGGTAACCGAACATCATGTATTAGTTATGCCAAAATAAATACAAATTGTATTACTTATGTTAAACTATATACCAAAGTAATTGCATGTCCCAATATTTACCATCCATGGTCTCATAATGTTTTACACAGTGTGGACAGATACCTTTTTGAGATACTGTACATGTGTTCGGTTTGCAAGGGGATTCAACTGGAGTTAAGCCTCTGTAGCAATGGTGCTCCATGCCACATGCATACTGGTAGTTTAAATGCAGAAACATTCCCTAATGCCCAGAGAAATTCCATAGATGTGGAATTTTTTTCGGGGATTAGAGAATTCATCTTAATACCGGAAATCTCTCAAACCCAAAAACACTCTGTACCAATTATTCCAGGTAATGGGGATACAGTATTGCTGGATTTGATTCTTAAAAAAATTAAGACAAAAAGGCATCTCTCTATGGTTACATTTCCATTGCCCTTTTAACCCTGTCCTATGAAGACAGGGTGTGAATAACACCCTGCCTTCATAGGACATTTTTTTGTATGTACTCCTTCACTTTCCCCTTCCAAAATGCAAGCACCATCCTATAACCTTAGCTGTTTTCACAACATTCCTAGACACTAACTTTTTTCCACCTTTTCAAAACATCCTGACATCGATTTTTTAACCATATCTATAGCGTTATGTTTCAGATACTCAATGAGAATATGTAGAATATGTGGGGTGAAAGTATTTGAGAATACTTGAATAACTGTACAGAAAACTTCATGGGTTAAAGTGAATTAGAGTTATGTGTGATTTTAAGGAAAGAGTGAGTGACAGTGAATAGATAGGATTTTGAGTAAATACAGAATGCCAGATATATAAGGAGACAGAAAGACGAGCTTATTGATAATAAGGAATACATGGAGGTATGACATTGAAGAAGTTATAGGTTTGTTAGCTGTGTGCTGGTGGACAGAAGATTAAAATCCACAATGAGGATGTGACCAGGCTAAGAGGAGCTGCACATGTAGCTTTTGATGGACGTGAATATAACAGTTACAATAGTTAATGAAAGGAAGAGATGTTGAAATGCAAGCAGTGTTTGAAAAAGAGTTGACCAGAAAGGACACTGAAGACTGAGGTGAATGATCCACTAGTAGTGAAGTGGAAAAGACATCTCGGAAACAATGGTGTGCATGAATGAATGAACAAATTGATCTGAGTGTTTCAGGGTATGAAATTTTGGTTGTGAATTTAAAAGAATAAGCCAAAGAGATATCTTAGGGCCATGTTGTGGAAGGGGAACCCCATACCAGAATATGTCTGTACAGCAGCAAGCATGAACAAATCAATATGAGTGAAGGGAAAGTGGGTGTCTGCTCTTGGTTCTGACCACCTTGCAGAAAAATAAGGAGCTTTTAACTTAATACTAAGAAATATAAAACACTACAATATAAATTGTGTAGCCAACATTAAATTTATAAAATTCTTATGCTAACAAGCTACTTAATGTAAAATCAGAAGGCAGAAAACTTACCATGTTTACGATCAAATAAAGCCATGAACAGCAAATGTTGTGGTGTTACTACTTGAATTTCACGTAGCAATTGAGTGGATGATGATGCTTCATAGTCTGCCCAAGTAACAGGACGCCAGGATTTCAGTTCAGAGCAGACTTTTCCTGGGAAATGCTGACGTAGTAACTCGGCAGGGATTGCAATTGAGCTGTGATATTTAATTACATATAAGAAATATTGCTGTAACCTTTTAAAAGGTAGGCTATGTTAGTAACAGTGCATAAACATCATAATAAGTAACAATACAGTGGTCCCTCGGTTAACGAACGCCTCGGTTAACGAAATTTTGGTTAACGAACTGCCTCCCATAAGATTCTTAAAATCGGTTAACGAATTTCTTACGAGCCGACCTCAACATGTTTTCGCTTGCACTGGCCGGTCAACCAGCTTTAGTATCAGTCCGCCAATACATAAATCGGCTCTAGGGCTTAAATTCCTTACTATTTTAGTGTATATCAAGAAGTTTATACTATTCAAAAATTTTAAAAGTTTAATATTCAATTTTTTAGTCATTTTAACAATTATTGAACATAATTGAAGGTAAAGTGACTAGTTTAATGCGCGGCATCCAGCCTCTTAACACAGCAAACAGGCGTTAGTCTCTCTCTGTTTTCACTGGAGGTAACATCTTGCTTGAGCCTCTCTTCAACTAAACGCTTTTTTTCTGTTTCCAAGCAAATTATTGGTCATTTTGAAATATATTTTACATATTGACAATATATAATGCAGTGCAGTGTTGATTTAAAGAAAATAATCTTGAAATACACCAAGAGAACTAAAATTTTATGGGTGAAATGGTGCCATGGGGTAACTTCTCTTCCACCCCAATGCCTTCTCTTCTTTTTCTCCTCCACCCCCATTCTAATTCCCATCATCATCATCATCCAGGAGCCTTCTACATACACACCTCAAAGTAAGTGAACTTTTCTACCATTTTTGTTGAATTTAGGCAATTTTCGGTGAGCTGGAACCAATTACCCAAAAACCCATTGAAACAATGGTTTCGGTTAACGAATTTTTCGGTTAACAAACAACCTGCTGGAACGGATTGTGTTCGTTAACCGAGGGACCACTGTACTGAGTACCAGTAGCTTCTTAAGTAACAGCTTCTAAAGGTATTTGGAGAACTCTTCTGAATATAAACACAGTGAGACATTTTATCAATTTCATGTAACCAAAATAATCATAATGATGAGTTCAAAAAAATCTCGAAGACACGAGTAGATACGTTCCTTGGAGTCTGCTCGTATAGGGAAAACTTGAATGACGGAGGGAATAATACATGGGCTAAATAGGGATGCATTCCCGAGCAATGAATATACAGCAACTCCCCGACTTACGACGGGGTTAGGGACCCAAATCCAGGTCATAAGTCAGGGGAAAAAAAATCTAAAATGAAATGCAGTACAGTAAAAGTAATCAATAATGAAGAATGGATAGAGTGTTACTGTGCACTTACCTTTAATGTAGTCAGCTGAATGTACACGGGACCCCCATAATTTTCTATTTACTGCACAGGATACATGGAGACTACTGTACTTGAAATGGATTTACTGGTTTACTTGTTTATTTATTTATTTATAATACGTTAGGGGGCAGTGAAATTTTGCTCAAAGCTGCACTCTTCATACATATCTAAGACTCCATGCCAAATTTGAAGCTGATATGTCGAGGTTTAGTCTGCCGCATTTTCTACTGAAATTTTTAAATTTACCTACAATACTAGCCAAACAGCGCTGTGGCGGTGCAATGTTCTGTTCAGTGTTTATCAACTTTTTTTTCATATCTCTTATTTCATTTAAGTTGTCTTGTTGCAGATGAGTATGGTGCTATGTCTATATTGATTATCAGCCTTTTCTCATTTCATTTCTCAATGTTGTGTTACTGTACTGTAATGTAGGGGACACCTGGGTAAGTTGGCGCACTTGAAATTATTCAAATAGTTACCGTTAAGCAGTTCACACCGCAGGATCACCACGTGCTTCCTCAGTCACCCATAAGCAGTCATTCTGAGACGCCGCACGTCTTGATTATGTCATCATGGTTGAGCCTGGCAATGAATATCTCACACATGTGACTCCCAAGACTGGACACGGAAAGCAGATTGCCAAAACTATTCACGAGTTTCTGGTGGAGAAAAATCTAACCCAGCAGCCCATTGTGTGTGTTGGTTGTGATGGAACCAATGTAAATGTAGGATCAGAAAATGGAGTCATTCATCATCTTGAAATGTTACTTGGTCACCCGCTCCATTATTTCATATGTCAGCTTCACGGAAATGAGCTGCCTTTCCGCGCAGTTTTTTATCACTATGATGGTAAACCAAGTGGTCCTGAGCATTGGCGTGGTCCCATTGGAAAGCAGATCAAGGAGTCTTTGTCTGAGCTTCCAGTTGTCGCCTTCCAGCCAGTCAGTTTCCCTGATTTCCCTGTGTTTAATGATGAAGTGGAGAAAGATCTGTCCTGGGATCAGAAATACCTGTATAGGATTTGTAAAGGAGTTATCACAGGTGTTGTTGAAGATGACTTGGCTGCTATTGAGCCAGGTCCTCCCTGTGTGTCAAGGTGGAACACCTTATGGAGTAGAATCCTCAGGCTGTATGTAGCAACATCAAGACCCAGCCATGAGTTGAAAAGAATTGTCATTACAATAATAAAGTTCAGTGCTCCAATGTGGTTTTACATCAAGATACACCCTTACGTAACACACGGCTCAAGGAACGTATTCCAGTCCCTGCTATATATGAAACACCTGAATAGTGAGGAGGAGACGATAGTGAAGAAGGCTGTCCAGAGAAATGCATACTTCGCCCACACAGATCAACTTCTTCTTGGTATGTGTGCAGATGAGGACATGACTGTTAGAGAAAAAGCTGTCTCAATGATAAGAAAAATTAGAGAGGAGAATCAGCAAAAGGAAGAATGCACTGGCAGATCTGAAGAGGAGGAGGAAGATTCTGATGCTGCTGTTGACGAGAATTTGTTAAACTATACTGATGAGGAGGGTAAAGATGGAGATGGGAATGAGGATGTGCCTCCTGTAGTCAACATGAGAAAGGTGGTGACTCCGAAACTAAAGTGGCAAGCAAAAAACTATCATTCCATGATTAACTGGAGGAATGAACTCAAGACTGAGCCTCCTTACATTGCTTCTCTGTCAAATCTACAGGTTAATGACATTCTTGAGACACCATTAGTGGTGCCCAAGTGGCCAAACAGCACTCAGGCGGTCGAGAGAGGCATAAAAGTGATGACTGAAGCTTGCACTGAAGTGACGGGATACGAATCGAGAGATGGATATATTAGGCAAAGATTATTGTCTAGGAAAATGATGCCAAGGTTCCGCACAAAAAAGAATTTCAATATGAACTTGTAATGATTTTCTATACGGTGTACCTGTAAAATAACATGTGAATTAAATCGATGTCACCCATGTAAAATTTATCATTGTCCTGGAAAACATTAAATGACACCTAATTTTTGGTATACACTAAAAGTTGACAAAAAGTCGTTCGCGATGCGGCAGGGTAAGTATGCATGAAATGGCATGAAATTTTGCACAGGTGTTTGTTACAGCCATACAAACGATGCCTGAAAAGTGCAGCCTGCAACTCAAATAAAAGTGTTTTTTCCCTGCCCCCTATAATACGTATACTGTAATATATTAAACTCACTGCAAGTATTTTCTTTAATTTATAAACTTGCTTCGTGACAAAAGGAGGCTATACCTGGTAGGTGAAGTTTACCTGATACATTTATGGTTGCATCATCATTAAGGATCAAATTCTGAATCAGATGACATGACTTCGGTTTCTTCATTCTCATCCTAAATTTAGCATGAAGAAAACTACCAGTGTCGGTAGTTTCAAGAATTATCGCAGTCATTTACTGAATATTCTTTGTAAAAAAAATTAATTTAAAATGAATTATTTATAGGAGATAAGTATTATAATCAGTAAATATACCGGTATGCCTTACTGGCCACTTCGGGCACAAAGACGGGCTAAAAATAGTCCTACCGGTATCTCCCCCCTCTTACAGCGGTCACTTTCCCTTTTTTGTCTCGTCACTGGCAAATGGCGGCGGTGCATGATGATAGCTGTGTTTATTACCGGGGTATGTTGTTATTTTACGGTGTGTTAGACAGGTTTATAATACATTTTTATTATTTTAATATACAGTGACCCCTCGGTTAACGAACTCAATCCGTTCCAGAAGGTCGTTCGTTAACCGAAACCATTGTTTCAATGGGTTTTTGGGTAATTGGTTCCAGCTCACTGAAAATTGCCTAAATTCAACAAAAATGGTAGAAAAGTGTACTTACTTTGAGGTGTGTATGTAGAAGGCTCCTGGATGATGATGATGAGGATGGGAATTAGAATGGGGGTGGAGAAGGAAGAAGAGAAGGCATTGGGGTGGAAGAGAAGTCATCCCATGGCACCATTTCACCCATAAAATTTTAGTTCTCTTGGTGTATTTCAAGATTACTTTCTTTAAATCAACACTGCACTGCATTATATATTGTCAATATGTAAAATATATTTCAAAATGACCAATAATTTGCTTGGAAACACAGAAAAAAGCGTTTAGTTGAAGAGAGTCTCAAGCAAGATGTTACCTCCAGTGAAAACAGAGAGAGACTAATGCCTGTTTGCTGTGTTAAGAGGCTGGATGCCGCACATTAAACTAGTCACTTTACCTTCAATTATGTTCAATAATTGTTAAAATGACTAAAAAATTGAATATTAAACTTTTAAAATTATTGAATAGTATAAACTTCTTGATATTTACTAAAATAGTAAGGAATTTAAGCCCTAGAACCGATTAATGTATTGGCGGACTGATACTAAAGCTGGTTGCCTGGTCAGTGCAAGCGAAAACATGTTGAGGTCGGTTCGTAAGAAATTCGTTAACCGAATTTTTGTTCGTTAACCGAATTGAAGATCCTTATGGAAGGCAGTTCGTTAACCGAAATTTCGTTAACTGAGGCGTTCGTTAAACGAGGGATCACTGTACAGGTAATCTTATTTTTAATCCAGCTTCCCAAACGTAAGTTTCAGTATAAAATAATTAGTGGTAGGAACATGTGAGTGGTTTACGATGTTCTCCATCACCACTCTTGAGACGCTAACCCATAATATGTAATAGG